TGACGTCATGGTCTGACAGCCCGGAGTTATGAACTACACTACCAAGGTATGTAAAGCTCTCTGTGACTTCAATGTCCTCGCCGCAAGCACGTACTGACTGAACAGGTTCTCCTAACAAGTCCCCAAATTCCTGGACCTTGGTCTTGGTCCAGGAGACCTCTAGACCCAAGAGCTTCGCTTCATTGCTAAATGCATCGAGAGCCGCCACTAGGGTTTCCAAAGACTCAGATAGAATGGCAACGTCATCAGCAAAGTCAAGGTCTGTAACCTTGATATTGCCCAGTGTTGCTCCACAATGACTTTGAACAGTAGCTCTGCTCAGTATCCAGTCCATGCAAGTGTTGAAAAGAGTTGGTGCAAGGACACAGCCTTGCCTCACTCCTGAACTAACAGGAAAGAAGCTCGACAGGCCCCCACCACTTTACAGCACTTTCAGTACCAGTATACAGGCTTGCTATTAGTCCAATAATCCTTGTTGGAATTCCTCTCAGCCTCAGGATCTCCCAAAGTGACTCCCGATGCACCGTATCGAACGCCTTCTTGAGGTCGATGTAGGCTGCAAGCAGCCCACGCCCGAACTCACGGCGGCGCTCTACAATGACTCGAAGCGTGAGGATACGGTCTATTGTGGACTTACCAGGAGTGAATCCGGATTGCTCCAGTCTCTGGTGTCTCAGTAGATAGTCTCTGATACGTCTCAGAAGGATGTGGGCGAGAACCTTGCCTGGTATACTGAGCAGTGTGATGCCTATGTGATTGCTGCAGTCCCAACGGTCCTCCTTCCCCTTCCAGAGAGGGATGACCACACCCCTCACAGGTCAGGAGGAACGGTACCGGACCGCCAGATGGCAGCCAGGACAACCCCCGTGCCATAGGTTCACCACCAGCCTTTAACAGTTCAGCTGGTATGCCGCAGATACCCGCTGCTTTACCACTCTTCAGCTTGGAAATCGCCCCCTAACTTCAGTTAGGGAGGGAGGGTCCTCACTGATGGGTGGATCCGGCAGCGGGATCTCGACACTACCCGCATCCAAGTTAACTGTTGGTGGGTCAACCTGGTACAGCTGCTCAAAATACTCAGCCCAGTGTTCCCGCACCGCAACAGGATCTGAAACGATCCGACCATTTACTGAGCGAACTGCTGTCACCTGTGAAGAAGGCTTGGAGTTCAGCTTTCTCAGGGCTTGGTATGCAGGACGAAGGTCATTTACTAAGAAATGGCCTTCTACCTCCTCTGCAAGACTCCTAATAAACTCCTTGTCCCTTCTTAACAGGGACCGAGTTCTATGTATATATATATATATATATATATATATATATATATATATATATATATATATATATATATGTATAATATTATATGTATATATTATATACATACATACATATATAAATATACACACACACATATATATATATATATATATATATATATATATATATATATATATATATATATATATATATATATATATATTATATATATATATATATATATATATATATATATATATATATATATATATATATATATATATATATATATATATATATATATGTATATATATATATATATATATATATATATGTATATACTATGTATATATGTATATATATATATATATATATATATATATATATATATATATATATATATATATATATATATATATATATATATATATATATATATATATATATTGTGTGTATGATGTAAATTTGTGTGTGTGTATATATATATTTATAATTTATATGTATATGTGTGTGTAATATATACATGTGTGTGTGTGTGTGTGTGTGTGTTTGTATATATAATGTATATATGTGTGTATATATAACATATATGTGCGTGTGTATATATAGTATGTATGTGTGTGTTTATAATATATATAGAAATAACTATATAAAAGTATGTATGTATGTGTGTATATGTGTGGTGTGTGTGTGTGTGTGTGTGTGTGTGTGTGTGTGTGTGTGTGTGAGTGTGTGTGTGTGTGTGTGTGTGTGTGTGTGTGTGTGTGTGTGTGTGTGTGTGTGTGTGTGTGTGAGTAACTGTGCGTGTGTGACAATAAGCTTTGAACAAAAAATATGTTTGTACCTTTTGTAAGTTGTCTTGTTGACTTTTTTTTAACATATAATTATCTACAGTTCATTCTACTTAACTGAAAATAAAAACATATTTACAGTTTCATTCATTACACTGTAGGTTGCAAGCATTGTTTAGGTCAGTAGTCAAATCTATGAAATATTGTTGTTTTTTCATAGACGTAAGTGGTAGATAAAAGTTAGTCTTTGTTTGTAAGTTTTGTAATTTTAATTGTTATGACAATCTGACATAATTTCCCCATTCGGGAATTGACAGTGGAGTTATGCCCTTAGTAGGCTTTTCTGATGATGTGAATGATCTTTTGATGTGATAAGTACATTGGGATCAGTAATATTTTTACATTATAAATTTGTTCCAGACTATCAGTTTCAAATGAAGGTGCCGAAAGTAATTCAGATCAAAGTACATGCTCTCAACACGCAGAGAATGGTTCAGACTCTCCTCAATTCAAATTTTGGAAATGGTGATGAACTATCAGAGAACACACCTGAACTCCCTGCAAAGAGTGAAGAACTTCTCTGTTTAAACAAAGTTTTAGAGGAATTTTCAGTTATTCGAAGACAATTGGTATGTATGCCTGCCCTATTACAACTAGATATCATTAACCAGCTTAAGCAACAGAATTTTTTGTCAAAAATGCATTGGTTATTTGTATAAATTTGTCTCAGCTACGTATCAAATGTAAGACAGGTCGAGAGTCCTAAGTAAGCCTTTATATGTATTTGTGTGCAGAGATGGGCAGTATTGCGATATGTACCAATTGATTCTTTTGTATTAGTATCTGTATCACCTTAGTTATTCAACGACAGTATCGTATTATTGGCACTGCAAGAGTAATTTTAAGATGTATAGAAAAAAAAAATCAATAAATCGATGCTTCAATACATTCCCTCTCTCTCTCTCTCTCTCTCTCTCCCTTCTCTCTCTCCCTCCTCTCTCTCTCTCCCTCCCTCCCCTCTCTCTCTCCCTCCCTCCCCCTCTCTCTCTCCCTCCTCTCTCTCACCTCTCCTCTCCTCCCTCTCTCCCTCTCCTCTCTCCTCCCCCCCTCTCTCTCCCTGCTGCTACCGCAGTTCGTAACACCACCCAGGATAGCGATGAAGACGACACATAAATTCTGAGGCATGTTATATCTCACATGGATGTGAAACTGTGTTCATTTGCACATTGCAAATAAAAATCATCACTGTAGAGCTAGTTGCTTATTCTTACCCTATATATCGTGAAAAATGTGATATTGTGCTTAAAACCTTCTTAAACCGATTGACAATATTCAACATTATTCATCTGAATCATCTATTTGAAATAATCTGTCTAGCATCCACAGTTCATTGCTAGTCTTGAATGTTCAAATATTTGTTTCACAAGTTGTATCTTATTCTGGTCATTCATTTAAACCTTTGTTGGTTAGTACATAAAGGCCTTAATGAATATTAGGTTATGATTTTATTAATTGGTGCCTTACAGCTAACATTAAAATCATGGTCTTTACGAAATGGACAGAATATGGAATGACATGTTTAACACGAACCATCAATTCTTACCTCATTTCAAACACCGGTCTTGAGTGTTTTGGTAAAGCCTAGTGTCATAAAAACTAATTTTAATATAAGCTTACGTAATGGCCAAAAACTGCACCCAGCTCCCTGGATTGACCTACTGCTTTTTAAAATAAATTGCTTTGTGTTATTTGCCCTTGTCTCAGGAAGAGTAAATTACAGTATATATTTCCAAAATTGGTCCTAACTTGATTTTGACAAAATTATGACAGGTTTTACCCGAACACTCCAGTAGTGTATACAGATCTCTTTAACAAATCTTGTGCACTACCACGTCGACTAGCAACATTTCAATATGATTGAATTCACAATAAATATTACATTAAAATTCATAAACACAAGCTGTCAGTTAAAACGAATTTTATCTGCACACACAAAATCCTATGTTGATAGATAGGTTGCGTACTGTTGTGGGCCAGGGCAGACGTTTGGATTGACATGCAATGTTTGGCATTACTCATGATGTTTTTACCAGTAAATGGATATGGAATTTCCGTGTACTGCTGGTTTTAGTAATGCGAGTTCAGTCCTCTGCATGAGTACAATTCTGTAGTTGCCTGTAATCACTTTTAAAACTGTAATTAATCCTTAGATGGTGTTTGAAGTGGTGTTGGCATTATGCTGGTTTTCCGTTAGCATTCTGTGGGTTTTATGTTGGCAGTACATTGGCTCTACGTTTTTCTTATGGATTTTGGTAACTATAATTGGTTAAATGGACGTTGGGACAACGTCCATTTAACGTAAAGCCATACATTCTGCCAACGTTGGACCAGCGTTTAATGTTAGCTTGGGCACGGTTGTCAAGCTGTGCGTTAAGTGCTAATGGAGGGGAGCAGGGGGGGGGGTGGAGAACAGTGAATCTCTACTACACATAGTGTTAAAGTAACGGAAGACAACATCTTAACATTTGTTCTGTCATTGTTCACTTTGACACTTTAGTGCAACATACATCCGTTTATAACCATGTCTTACTCAGGGTAGAACTACAGCTGCTGCCTCCAGTGTTCTCTGAGATCCAGCTAGCGAAAGCAGATACACGGGTGTACACACCAGGTTTGCCAGGGACGGCACACTGGTACCGTAGCTGACAATTCCGATTTGAGCCCAGGTGCCGTCACAAAGTTTCGCAACAAGAGGACCACCGCTGTCACCCTGCGGTTGTGTACAGGGTAATGAGTTCTTAAAGAGGATGTTTCACCAGGCTACTTTCATAATCAAGAAATGTGTTCCCAAAGGTTAAACGAAATATGGCCATGGAGCTGTTTCTTACCTGACAGGTATCCTTATTGAGAGTCAAGGCACATACAACCGAGTTTGTGTCTGGCGGTAAAGAGTCC